TATATACACATACATGTACAATAAATACTTCTGAGCCTGAAAGAAGAGAGACAACACTTTAAATAAGAAGTAGGATTTAAAGACTTTTCAGCTGAAAAAAAAAAAAAAAGAATTTTTAGCTGAGATAAGGTGCGTGGGTCAAGGGGTAATGTTTATTTCTACAATCAATTAGAAAAAAAAATTTGCAATAAATTTATTTTTTTCCAATCATCAGATACAATATGGCTTTTCCATAAAATACACTATTACTTATCTTTCTCATTGTTTGATCATTAGCTGTGATATAAAGTCATATACTGAAAGAAGGATTAGAGTAAGTTGCATCACAAGGAATCTCTCTGATGATCTCTATTGTTGCCATGAATAGCAAGTTATTAGAACTATTCAATCATGAAATTATTCAAAGTTGCTCTATCAACACATTAAAAGCTTTCAATCAAAGATATAACATTGCTGGAATGAAGATAAACTTCCAGTAAAAACTGGATGAAACTGATAAATCAGGGCCTCCCTCTCTTCATCTTCAGATTCAAAGTGATGACTGTTTTTCCGAGCTGCAAGAAAAATAAAGAGCTAATTTTAAAAACTGATAGGCTGATGAAATTTTCAAAAGGCTACTTTATAATATTTCGTGCTTCAATTCTCATTAAGTGGAAAAATACTACCAAGAGGAGAAATGCATTACAAAAGTTCCCCCCTCTAAAGCAGTGTCTGATTTAAAGCACAGTTACCTACTGATGAAGCAGCTATACTTCCCCAGCACTAGGTCAAATGTGGCATTTACTCCTCAGTGCATTCACATACATACTAAGGGCCAACTGGGTGCAATAATTGACGCAGGGCCCAGGATGGAAACAAAAACAAGACAATATCCTACCACTCAAGAAGTTTAATTAAACAACCAACACAAACACAGAATCATACATCATACATCATACATACATCATATATCATAATATTTGTTTGAGATACTATAGGAGTAAAGAGGATGGATAAAGTGACGCAAGTGAAGAATTAAGGTAATGAATATTTTCTATAGATAAAGCAGAGTTATAAAAAACAAGGAGGCAGTACAATGGGCACAAGGAGAAGTCTGGTATGGTTGAAGTGTGGACATGTGGGGTGGGAGCTGGACTTTCTCCTGAAATCAAAGTAAGATTAGCTTTTATGAAACGAATGACATTTTAGGAATGAAGCCTGCTGCTATTAGTCGATTGTGACTCATAGCAACCCCATGTGTTGCAAAATAGAACTGCTCCATAGGGTTCTCAAGGGTGTGACCTTTGGGAATCAGGTCGCCAGGCCTGTCTCCCGAGAAGCCTCTGGGGAGACTGAATCCTCAACCTTCTGGTTAGAAGCTGAATTGTTTGCACCACCCAGGGACTCCTAACCTGTTGCCATCAAATTGATTCTGACTCATAGTGACCTGGTAGGGCAGAGCAGAAGTGCCCCATAGTGTTTCTAAGGCTATAATCTTTATGGAAGCAGAATGCCACATCTTTCTCACACAGAGAAGTTGGTAGGTTTGAGCCACATATAGACAAAGCAGAAACTGCTTTGTATGCTGCAACAGATTTTGCTTGAGCTACTGCTGTTCTCAAACAGAAAGATTTTTTTTTCACTCAAAAACTTATATGACATGAACATGTTTCCTTGGACTAATACTGCACATGGGAATTCTTTTTGAGTTTTGTTTATTCCATCCTAACACCACCCATTCAACTGAGCACAATTCCTAACAAGAGTGAGCTCAGTAGGAAGTTTCTGACTTCAGACAACAGGTAGGGGATGGATGGCAAAAAGTCTTAGCACAAGTTGGATATGGGACTGAAACAAGGCTCACTGATGTCTGTTTCTGATCAGAGTGACACCCTGTCCCTTGCAAATTATATCTGGACCTCTGTCTTATACCCATATCATTCAACTAAAAAATAAGCATCTACAACAGATTCTTCATTTTACCCACAAATATAATATAGCATGAAAACATCTTTGTTTTCATCATTGCGGTAAAGTTATATGTCAACTTGGCTGGGCCTGGTTGAGTGGCTGGGCAGCTGATGGTAGTTATTGCCCATGATGAGACTGGCAATCAGCTCCATGATGGGATCTACCACAAGCAGCTGAGCAGCTGCTTTAATGATGTGGTCTGCTTCCTGTGTATAAGAAGCAGCTTTGGGAATGGTCTCCAGCTTATGGTGCGCTTAAACCTTGCATGTAGCCGTGTCCTTGTTCAGCAGCCTTCCATGCTCTGCCGCTCTTGGGACTTTCAATGGATTTGAATCAATGACCTGCCGTGTTGTTTGGTAACATCAGGATTGTGCCATTTTATTTGTCAACCTTGGGCTTGTTAGCCTCAGCAGCCAGCAGCTGTCTGAGTGAAGAGATGCCTCTAGCTTCAGTGGGCCAGAAGCAAGAGGCAGAGCTGAAGCCCAAGGTTGAGGGGCTTTCATTCAGCCCCTAGAGCCTGGCATTTTGAACTCGGACTTAAAGCCTCCAAAACTATAAGAGAATAAAGGTCTGTTTGTTCAAACCATCCCATTTGCTGTATACTCTTGTCAGAGCCAGCACTAGGTAACCAGTAAAATCACCATAGAACAGCCAAATTTATTAACTTTTGCCAATGGGCCGGCCAATGGCTACCGGCAGGCAGCCTTAGCTCACAAGACAGATGGGTTTATAGTCAATTTCTATAGGGTTTTGAAAAAAAAAACAGTATCTAATTCCAGGAGAACTTTATAATCAAAACATTGCTCGTAATAAGAAGAGAAACTGGGAAGAAATCTAAATAAAAATATTCAAGGAAGAAATAAAAGCACAACACCATGTTCTTCATGCCTGCTGCTAGAAGAACTCTGCCCACTTTGGAGTGTACAATACTGTTAGCTGAAAAAATTGTCCTGATGTTACCTGAATATCCAAGATCCCAACTGCAGAGCTTTAATATTATTTAATATTTGCTCTTTTAAAAATTAATTTAGTTAAAATGTAGAGCTTACAGAAGAATTACAGAGCTAAAGAGTACACAGCATTTAGATGAGGATAATTTCATTCAAAACAACATTAGAGCAATAAAATTATATACCCATATATTACCTTCAGAGACAAAGAAGTCTGCTAAATAAAACGCAGTCTTCACAGCGTTAGATGAATGGGAAATGTAGTCATTTTCCCACTCATAAGGTGATTTCTCTGGATGCCACTGGACACCATATATTGGATACTTATATCCTGCATGAAGAACACAATCTATTAAGTAGCAAATAGTAAGAATGGTCTAAGATGTTTCTTACAGTTAAACTATGCTTGATGTCTATGCAAAACATTATTATGTCCAAGTAAAATTGTATTTTTCTTAAACACAAACTAAATAATTTTAGTTCATAGTCAATATAAAAATTCCTAACCAAATATTTCATGGCTTTTCAACCTTCTACACTAAAAGGTCAATGAAAATGAAAATTGTCCATGAGATGGATTGACACAGTGGCTGTCAACAAGTGACTCAACCAACCAATGATCAATCGTGAATTTGGTGCAAGACTGGGCAATGTTTCATTCTATTATACACAGGGTCACTATGAGTTGGAGCCAACTCAACAGCAACCAACAATAGCTTGTACCACAAATCACTTTTCTAGATGATCATAGCAAAATATTTTAGCCTGGGAATATATCGCAGTTCAACAGTGAAGTACACACTGTATTAGTGACACAAGTTTCTCCTATCATTGGCCTCTCTTTCCTCCCATTCATACCACATTTTCACTCCCTGTTATGACTTGTTAGTATGAGAATGGGTCATTCTGTATAAGTCTGCTTTCTTAGCCTAGCTTAGGTGTCTCTCTTCTAAGTCTCTCGAAAGTTTCATGATTTCATGGAGGCCATTTTAAAAACAGTTTTAAGCATTTAGAATTTGGTATGAAAGATTCTTGATAACATATACCATGGACTGCCAGAAGAACAAACAAATCTCTTCTGGAAGAAGTGCAACCAGAATGCTCTTCAGAAGCAAGAATAGCCACACTTGGTCTCACCTACTTTGGTCATGTTGTGAGAAGGGACCAGCCCCTGAAGAAGAGTATCATGCTTGGTAAAGTATCAGCAAAAAGGGGGAAGTTCTTCAATGATAATTTAATTAGTTTTAGAATCCTTAAATATCTTTATACATAAAATGATATAATCCTTGGAATTTGCTTCAAATAAATAAATAAACCCATTGTGTCTAAATGTGTCTGTTCACCACATCCAAAATAGCACTTGTCAAATTTTTAATTTTGCCAGTCTGGTGGGTATAAGGTGATTTTCATTTTGACTCCCATTTGCATTCCTTTGATCAGTAACTTACTATATGTTTATATAGAAAAACAAAACCTGTTGCAGTCAAGTAGATTCTGACTCATAGCAACCATACAGAGTAGCGCAGAACTGCCCCATAGGGTTTCCAAGGCTGTAATCTTTACAGAAGCAGACTGCCACACTTTCTCTTGCAGATATGGATTGCCAACCTTTCAGGTAGCAGGCAAGTGCTTTACCACTGTGCCACTGGAGTGCCCTACCATATGTTTATAGGCCATTCAAATTTCTCTTGTCCATTTTTAATAGGCTTTTTCTTAATTCATGGTTGTACTTCATAAATAAATATGCTAAACACATAACTTTTGTTATTACATGTATTACAAATCTTTTTTCCCTTCTATACTATTTTTTGATGAACACAAGCTCTTAAATTTAATTGATCAAATTCATCAATATTTTTTCCTTTATGGTATTTTTTTTTTTTTTGGTCTTAAAAACTCATTCCCTTACATAAGATCATAAAGATGTTCTCCTTTATTTCCTCTAAAACCTTGTTATGTTTTTACCTTTCCAATTAAGTCTTTCAACCACCTGAAATTTATTCTCTTTATGACAATGGGGGCAGAGATTTTTACTTCTCAGGGATCACAAAACGTTCCAATACATATATTTAATGTATCTTCCATCCTCTCCCTACTGATTTGCAATACAATGCCACTCAGTCACCTATCAAAAATCCTTAGATTAGTTTCTGGGCTCTCCATTCTGTTCCACTGACCTATCTATTCCTGTGCCCAAAACAGTCACAATTGATACAGATTATAAATCTTGATTTCTGGCAAAGCAAGCTCACCCACACTGCTGCTCTTCTCAACTATCCTGGATGTCCTTGGCATTTTGTACAAAATAATACGATACAAACAAATCCAAGTATCAGTATTACAACAATTGTCACAGGACTAAGTGATTGAGTCAAGAACAAAATTATGAGCATAGGTTCAAAAAGATAATCCAACTCAATGACTTTTATAAGAGACTCATCTAAAATATAAAGATCCAGAAAAGCTGGAATAGAACCTTTCCAAATAAATAAGATACATACTATGCTAAAAACTAACGAAAAGCAAGTTTATATCATTTTATTAACATCAGATACAAAAGATTCAAAGGCAAAATTACTAGAAGGGAGCTTGGAGCTCTAGTGGCCTAGTGCCTAAGGGATTTGACTGCTAACCAGAAGGCTGGTGGTTCAAACCCACCAGCCACTCCTTGGAATGAAGACTGGGCAATCACTTCCATCACAGAAACCCAAGGAGGGGTCGCCACAGGGTCAACAGCTATTTATTTAATTTTTACTGTGATTGTGTGAAAGCATAAAGAATAAACTGGTTTTCCATTCAAATACACTTTTTTTTAAAGTACACTCAAAATAGTTTTAAAATTTATCAATTACTAGGCAATAAAGATTTCAATAAAATATAGTATTATTTAGAGCATATTCTAGGACCACAGTGTAATTAAAGAGGAAACAAATAATGAAAGGTAACTGTTGTTGTTGTTGTTGTTATGTGCCATTGAGTCAGACCTGACTCATAGTGACCCTTCCTTGGGTTTCCAAGGCAGTATCACTACAGAAGTAGATTGCCCCATCTTCCTTCCGAGGAGTGGCTGGTGCGTTTAAGTCAAGTGCCTTAGCCACTATGCTACCAGAGCTCCCGAAAGGTAACTAGAAAGATTAATAATTAAGATTAATAATTAAACACTCTTAAATACCTTGTGAGTCAAAAAAAGAAATTAGAATAGACATTAGAATATATTTACAAAACTGTACAGAAATACTTTATATCCATATTTGTGGCATATGCCTAATAGAGCAATACATGTTGTTGTTGTTAGATGCTATCAAGTTGGTTCTCTTAAGAGACCTCATGCCCAACAGAACAAAACACTGGCCCATCCTATGTTATTCTCACAATCTTTACCATGTTTGAGCCTACTGTTATAGCCACTGTGTCAATCCATCTTGTTGAGGGGCTTCCTCTTTTTCACTGACCCTCTACTTCACCAAGTCCTTCTATAACAACTTGTCCCTCATCAAAACGTGTCCAAAGTACGTGAGACAAAGTCTCACCATCCTTCCTTCTAAGGAGCATCTGGGCTACACTCCTTCGAAGACAGATTTGTTCATTCTTCTGGCAGTCTATGGTATAGTCAATATTTTTCACCATTTTTAAAAGGCATCAATTCTTCTTTGGTCTTCTTATTCATGTCCACCTTTGACATGCACATGAGGTGACTAAAAAGATGATAGCTTGGGTCAGGTGCACCTTAGTTCTCAAAGTGATATCTTTGCTTCTTCACATTTTAAAGAGGTCTTTTGCATATGTACTCAATGCAGTACAATGTTTGATTTCTTGGCTGCTGTTTCTATGGGCAGTGATTGTGGATCCAAGTAAAGTAAAATCCTTGATAACATCAATCTTTTTCTGTTTATCATGATGTTGCTTACTGGTCCAGTTGTAAGGATTTCTGTGTTCTTTATACTGAGGTGTAATCCATACTGAAGGCTGTAGTCTTTGATCCTCATCAAGTCCTCTTCGCTTTCAGCAAGCAAGGTTTTGTCATCTGCACACTGCAGGTTGTTAATCAGTCTTCCCCTATTCTGATGCTGCATTCTTCACATGGTCCAGGTTCTTGATTTTGTATTATTTCCTCAGCATACAGCCTGAATAAGTATGCTGAAAGAATACAACAACCTGGACATACACCTTCCTTGATTTCAAACCATGCAGTATCCCTTCATTCTGTATGAATAACTGCCTCAGAAGCAACAATTATGTTCTTTGGAATTCCCATTATTTGCAATGTAATCCATAATTTGTTATGATTGGCATAGTTGGATGCCTTTGCATAGTCTATAAAACACAGGTAAACATCTTTCTGATATTCTCTACTTTCACCCAAGATCCATCTGACATCAGCAATGATATCTCTCGTTCCACATCCTCTTCTGAATCTGGATTAAGTTTCTGGCAGTTCCCTGTTGATGTGCTACTACAAATGTTTTTGAATTATCTTCGGCAAAATTTTACTTGCATGTATGATTAATTCTACTGTTCAATATTTTCTGCATTCTGTCAGATCATCTTTAGAATGGACACAAATATGGATCTCTTCCAGTTGGCTGGCCACGTAGCTGTCTTCTAATATGTTTGTCCAATTCAAAATAGCCAATACCAGTCTTTTTCAGCTCACCAATGCCTAAGATATCAATCTTTATGTGTTCCATTCATTTCTGACAACTTCCAAACTTCCTAGATTCACACTTTGTATATTCCACATTCTGTTTATTAACAAATGTTTGAAGCTTTTTCTTCTCATTTTGAGTCATTTCACATCAGCAAATGAAGATCCTGAAATCTTTACTCCTTCCATGTCATTAAGGTCAGCTCTATTTTGAGAAGGCAGCTCTTCCCAAGTCATCTTCTGAGAGTCTTCCAACCTGAGGGGCTCATCTTCTGGCACTGTATCAGACAATGTTCTACTGCTACTCATAAAATTTTCACTGGCCAATTTCTTCAGAAGTAGATCACCAGGTCCTCCTTCCTAGTCTTTCTTAGTCTAGAAGCTCTGCTGCAACATGTCCATCGTGGATGACCCTGCTGGTATTTGAAATACCAGTGACATAGCTTCCAGTATCAGAGCAACATGCAAGCCACCACAGAACAACAAAGTGACAGATAAGTGGTGGCAATTTACATCGCCATACATACTCATACGCGTTCCGGTGGCATACTACCTAAGGCATTTGACTGCTATCCAGAAGGCAGGCAGTTCAAACCCACCAGCCACTTATTGGAAGGAAGACTGGGCAATCTACTTCCATAGCGATACCACCTCGGAAGCCCAAAAGAAAAGCTGAATATTAATGAGTCGAACAGTATCTTTCAAAGTTATTATAAGAACAATAAATTAAGCTGTGCCTTCTTTTGGATTTTTCTTTTTCACCACTTCTGTCCTCTACTAGTTTTATATATTGTCTCTGTTCCTGGAGTACAGAGCTCTGGTGGCATAGTGGTTAAAGCATTCAACTGCTAACCAAAAAGTCAGTGGTTCGAAACCACTAGCTACTCCTCAGAAAAAAGGTGATTTTTTTTCATTTTTGCATCAGTCTGCATTCATAAAGATTTATAGCCTTGGAAACCCTATGGGGCATTCTACCCTGCCCTATAGCATTGCTATGATTCACAATTGACTTGGTGGCAGTTAAGTTTTGGGTTTTATTCTTGGAGTGGTTATCACAGAAACTTTAATATGAATCAGCTTATTCAAGTCTATAGTTATTGTCTTTGCCCTCCTCCCAAATAACAATTTAACACCATTCACATGCTATTATCATACACTTTAATTCCAATTTAACCTCACAGAATGCTATTATTATTTCTGTAATCAATGTCCAATAAGCTTTTTCCACATACTTACTACTTTGTTTGCATTGTATTTATCTTGTATCTCAGGCCTTACCTCTAGGACCACAATGCTTATCTGAAAGGTATCACTTTAAATTTTCTTTGGGGAAGGAATGCCGCCAGTGGCCAAACTCTAATTTTATTTCACTGATAAATTTCCCTAGTATACAACTGTAGATGAACAATTATCTTCTATTCACACACTGAAGACATAATTCTATTTTTCTGATTATTGTGAAGTGAGCCTTCAGACTTTTTGTTGTTCTTTTGTAGGCAATACATCTCTATCACTGATTCTAAGAGTGTCCCTTTTTCTTAGGGGATCAGCAGTTTCTCTGACTAGATATAAATTTCTTTTTATTTACACTGCTTGTGATTCACCAGGCTTCCTGAGTCTACTCACTGGTGCTTTTCATTAATTCTAGAAAATTCATTTGCTCTCACCAAATATTGTCTCTGTCCCACTGTCCTGTTATGGATTAAATTATGTCCCCCCTGACAGTATGTGTTCGAATTCTAATCCCCATACTTGTGGATATAACCCTATTTGGGAATAGAGCCTTCATTATGTTAATAAAGGCCTATCAGTGGAGTTGTATCTTAAGCTAATCATTTTTGAGATAGTAAAAAGAGATTAGATAATTCTACAACTTAGCAAAAAGACAAAAATGACAACTGAAAAATAAGCAAACGATTTGAACAGTATTTCACCAAAAAGGATATTCCAATGGCCAAAAAGTACATGAAACATTAGCCATTAGAAAGATGAAAATCAAAGCCACAATGAGATACAATCTCACTTCCAACAGAAAGGCAAAGGTGGAAAAAAAAAAAGGAAAACATTAAGTGTTGGCAAGATTGTAAAGAAAATGGAACCCCCATCCATTGCTAACGGGAATGTAAAAGGGTATAGCCACTGTGGGAAATAGTGTGGGCTTCCTCAAAAAGTTGAACATAGTAATCTCAGTCCTACACAGACTCAGAAGTGAAAGCAGGAATGCAAACAGAAACCCCTACACAAATGTCCACTGCAGCTCTTTTCATAACAGCCAAAATGTGGAAACCACCTAAATGTCCATCAGCAGATGAAGGGATAAACAAAACGTGGTATAAACATACAATTGAATATTATTCAGCTATAAAGAGAAATAAAGTCCTGATGCATGCCACAACATGGATAAACTTTCAAAACATGCTGGGAAAAGTAAGTTGCAAAAGGGCAAATACTGTATGATCTCACTTATATGAAACAAGCAAATATATGTTGTTGTTGACACTGAGTTGATTCTGGCTCACAGTGACACCATGTGACAGAATAGAACTACACTATAGGATTTTTAGGTTATAACCTTTATGCAAGCAGATTGCTAAGTCTTTCTCCCTTGGAACAGTTCAGTATGTTTGAACTGTTAATGTTTCACAGTTAGCAACCAAGAGCTTATTATTAGTGGTTGCTAGGCTCGAAGGGAGGGAGCTCTGGTAGCATAGTGCCTAAAGCACTTCACTGCTAACCAGAAGGCTGGCGGTTCAAATCTACCAGCTACTCCTCAGAAGGAAGATGGGGTAATCTAGTTCCTCAGAAACCCAATGAGGGGTGGCTATGAGTTGGGTCCAACTCCACGGCACATAACAACAACAACAACAACAACAGGGTGGAAGGGAGGGGGAAAGAGTAAAGTTCTGCTTAGGGAATATTGAGTTTTTATGTTATGATGGTAGAATAATTTGGAAAAAGCGAGAATGGTTTCACAATTTGAAGAAAGTAATCAACGTCACTGCAGAAATTGTTTTACATGTAGAAATTATCGTATTGGCATATGTTTTATTGTATGCATTTTCACAATAACAAAAGTTAAAAAAAAAAACAGCGGATTAGGCACAGAGACAAGTGAACACAAACAAAAGGAAAGATAGATGCCATGTAGAGAATGTCAAGGTACCAAAGAAACTTAGAGAAGCTGAGACACAAGAATTTTCTCCAAGAACCAACAGGGAGCAAGCCTTTCCCTATAGCCCTAATTTCAGTGCCCTGAATTCAGATTTCTAACCTCCTAAACTGTGAAGAGAAAAATAAAAAAAAAAAACATCTATTCTTTAAAGCCATTCATTTGTGGTACTAAACTTAAGCAGCAGTAAGAAATTAGGACATCCTCCTTTCCTTCCAGAACTCTAGTTAGGTATGTCAGAACTTTTCACTCTCTCCTCCAGATTTCAACCTTTCCTTCAATATAGTGTACATTTCTATCTGTGTTGTATTCTCAACGATTTTTTTCAGGTCTTCTAATTCATTAATTCTATCTTCTAATTATATCTAAAATGAAGATTAACCTGTCTACTGAGATTCTCATTTCAATTATACAAATATATTTTCATGTCTAATAGTTGAATATGATTCTTTTCAAATCTGATTGGTGCTTATATTTTCAAGTGTCCTTTATTACTTTATAAATGTAAAAGAGAATTCTATTTTATGTCTAATAATTCTAAGACATTAAGTCTACTTCTATCTACTTCTGCTGTTTCTACAAGTTCTCATTCATGTACATTACTAACTTTGGACTATGAATTGCTCATTTCCCTTAAACCTTTTTGTGAAAATTCCTTGAGGCCTGGGACAAACATAGGTTCCTCCTGCCACACACCTGAAGACACTACCAACCCGAGATAACTTTCAATAGAATTCTTGAATTAAGATTATTGATCCGCGCAGTTAGTATAATGCAGACCACATAATCAGAGAGCCTCTGATTATGAATGCTCATGGCTTATTGTTTTGGTTACCTAGTGCCACTCTGACAGGAATATATACCACAAATAGGATGGCTTTAACAAACAAGAATTTATTCCCTCACAGTTTTGAAGGCTAGAAGTCTGAGTTCAAAGTGCCAAGCTCGAGGGGCTGAGTGAAGGCCCCTTGACCTTGAGCTTCAGCTCTGCCTCTGACTCACAGCCCACAGAAAGAAACTGGAGGCTTTCTTCACTCAGGCAGCTTCTGGCTGCTGAGGCTGCCAAACCCAAGGTTGACAGTAAAAAGGCATAGTCCTGATGTTACCAAACCACATGGCAGGCCATTAATTCAAGTCCACTGAAAGTCCCAAGATCAGCAAAGCATGGCAGGTTACTGAATGAAGACTTGGCTACATGAAGGGTTCAAGTGTGCCAAAAAGCTACAGACCGTTCCCAAGGCTTCTTCTTATATACAGGAAGCAGACCACATCCCTAAGGCAGCTACTCAGCTGCTCATGGTAGATTCCACAATGTAGATGATTATCAGTCTCATCATGGGGAATACTACATCCAGCTGCCCAGTTACTCAACCAGGCCCAGCCAAGTTGACACACGACCTTTACTATCACACTTATTTACCACATCCACTGCCTTAGTACCAAGGATCAAGACAGGCAATTCTCTTTGTAGTGCTGCAGACAAGCTTCAGATTTATTTTTTAGTTCACCCTTACACTGAGGTTAAAGCCTTTCAGGTCCTCCTTGTAGGGGTTCCTGAGCTCTGACTCAAGTTCTCCTGACTCAATAATAATGCTGGCTTAAAAATACTCCACCTAACTCTTCATGTTTCTGGCCTGGATATTCTTATTTTATTGACAGTTCATCTATGTATTAGGAAGATGTTGTTCTACCTGTCAATTACATTTTTTGTTACTTTCTAGAGAAGAATCTGTCACAGTACTTAATCTGCCATGTTACGAGAAACAGAAGTCACTTGCCCCATTTATCTCTTCATCTCTCCTTACTCTTTCCTTTTCCTCCTCATCACCCTACTCTAGAAAATAGCTCAGAGTAAACTGCAATTGATTTGAAACATGCATAAAATATGCTTTCTGTCCCGTTATGCCCTAATTTAATCATTGGCTTCCAGGTCTCAAAGTAACACAATTTTATTCTGAAGAAAACACAGATATAACATAAACAATAATAAACAGGAAATTAATGAGTAAAACCAGGTATACATGCTACAGTGATACCTACCTTCCATTGAAGAAACAAATTCAATCTTGTCAACTGTATTTGTAGTTATCACATTGAAAAATGTCTTCAACCTTTCATTTGCTGTAAAATTCTATAGTATAAAAATAAAACAAAATGATTACTTCTGTAGTTAAACCAAAAAAAATAAAGTTAAACTTTATTGCATAATATGTCATACCTTTATAGAGAGGCTCCACTTATGGAAATTTGCAGTCAGAGGTTCAGTAGATAATGACAACAACAAGTCAGCAGGAAAATTCTGGAACATTCTACCCTGCAATGTAGCTGAAATAATTTAAACACAAGAAAATATAAAATCCAGTTATCTGCAGCCAAAGAAAGTCCATTATTAAGACATAATCAAAATGACTAAATGATAAGCAAAACATAACATTTCCACAGAAGAATTCCAATCAAACACAATGTTCAAATATGCTCCAAACTTAAATACTTTTCTTTCAGAATACTACCGTGAATAAGTGAAATTCTCCTCATATGAGAACTAATTAGCAGACTAGACATAACTGTAAGCATAACTGTAAGATAAAATTTTCCATGTGTGTATATTACTTATTTTCCCAGGAAACTATCCACAACTTTTAACATATTTTCAAAAGGACTTAGTATGTTAAAAACACCAACAATGTAGAAAAAGACATTAACCAAGAAACTTTTGCAACAGGTTGCAAAAGTAATATACCTTAGTGGCCAACACTCAAGGCTCTGGAGTCAGACACATAGACTCAAATACCAGCAAAGGGTTAAAAATAAAATCCTGATAGTGGACAAAGCCCTTATTCCAGCTGTCCCTTAACTAGGCCCCTTATTCTTGCTGTCTTCCATGAGACCCTCACTGCCCTTAAAATATTCCTTTCTGTATAAATTGGGTTACCATGCACAACCAAAATATACCCACTGCTTTTGAGTCTATTCCAACTCATAGTGACTCTATAGGACAGAACAGAACTTCCCCAAAGGGTTCCCAAGGCTGTAAATCTTTGAAGCAGATGCCTGGTCTTTCTTCCACAGAGTGACTGGTAGGTATGAACCACCAACCTTTAGGTTAGCAGCCCATGATTTAACCACAGTGCCACCAGGGCTCCACAACCAAAATAGTATGACCCGATTCAGATACTTTCCATAGGGTTTTTGCAATAATTGAGGATGAGAAAAAGCTTTGAAAACTATAAAGCATTCCATAGGTTCCATGTATGACTACCATGACTTTCATTCCAAAATCCTTATGTGAACAAGAACAGTTGGCAGCAATCCATACTAAGGACACAGAGATATAAAGTATCTTATAAAAATCATTATCTATTTATACAACCAAGGGAAAAACTTTGGTACTAGACTATTGCTAGCTAACATTTACTCAGTTGTATTTAAAGTATTTAGCACAGAGCCTGGAGCAAATTATCCTATTTAATCCTCATAAATAACCCAAATAAAGAAATTGAAGCAAGGGAGGTTAACTGATTTCACAAGGCCAAAGTGATAAAACCAGGACTCAAAACTAGGTTCAACATCAGAGTTCTTAATCACCCATGGTCCAGGTATCATTAGAAGCAATGAGCTATCAAATTTCAAAATTCCTTAAGCCAGCTCATAAATCAGTATAAAAGTCACATCTTCAATCTGTAAATAATTTAAGAATGAATAAATTTTATAAGCATTTTTTATTCTTCTATTTACTACTTGGTAATCCTTCCTAATAAATCTTTTCCAGAGGACTGGAAATAGAATTCTTACCTCCAGTGAAGTTCAGTGGCAGTGACTTATTCTCAGTTTCTGTCTTAGTTAGTAAGTTCTTTCCGCTCACCAGGAATGAGAGCTCTTCAAATCCAAGGCATGTGCCCCACACTGGGAAATAGTCTCCATCATCAAAACTCTTTGCAGAGTGAGAGAGAAAAAAAATAAGTTTACTCTATACTTTTCTAAAACAAAAATCATACATTAGGCTTATCATTAAAGGGCAGGCCCCTAAATTATATAAGGATTTCTAAAAGATTATCCATGATCTGTAAGTGAGTTTTCACTTAAACTTTCTTCATCTGTCAGTTAACTACCAAACTAAGTAAGTGGCAGCTATGGATCATAAATATTAAAGACAATGCTATACAGATGCCTAGTTATAAATCTACAAATTTCATCACTTTGGATGATTTTCTTTTTTTGAATATACTATGAGGGCTTTCCTCAATTATCTCAGAATTTATGGCAATAACTGCCTTAGCACCTTTAGCTAATCAGATTTAAATCAGAGGAGAGCCATGCTCTGATGGGAAAAGAACAGTTACTAAGAAAATCGCTAAGCAAAAGTAAAATAAATTTTCATAAAGTAAAAGTTGTCAGCTAAAAAAGTACAAATGTATTGATTTTCTTCAGTCTCAGTCACAACATGACTAGGTAAAAACGTACTCTAGTGATGGAACTTTCTGGTTAACTGAAGATCAATCACATTTTTTTGACAACTGCAAAAATGAGCTTTCACATTAACTTTCTAAAAGCAGGAGTTCTTGGGTGGTACAAATGGTTAATACACTCAGCTTCTAACAGAAATGTCGGCAATTTGAACTCACCCAGAAATGCCTCAGAAGAAAGGCTTGGGAACCTAAAATTTCTAATGGAATACAACTCTATTCTGACACGCTTGAGGTTGTCATGAGTAAATCAACTTAACAGCAGCTGATCTGGGTTTTTTTTTTTTTTTTTTTTTTGGTTTTTTTAAAAGTAAAGGTTTGCATGCATAGATTGTAAAATATAACCCAAGGCAATCATTTAAAATGAAGACCATGGTTTTTCTTCTGTTCCTCATTGAGAAAAATAGAAAATTTTATTAATTCCTATGCTTCCTATACCAATGGAGGATTTTAAATACTTTATATACAGTCTGGAAATTTTCTTTTAGAAGTTATTGTTTTCTACTTTAAGTTGTAGGGTCTTACTGCATTTAAGTACAATAATCAGAAAACTGTTCTGTTTCTATATGGGCAATATTTAACTTTTCAACTAACTGTAATTCCCTTGACTACTGGAACCACATCTTTTATTTGTATGGATCTCTAGATGGCCCAGAAGAGCAAAGGCTACAGTGTAGACACAGAATGGATCTAACAGATTAATTACCTCTTAACACTTTTTCAATGAGAGTTCTGTGGATGCCAGTAGCTATAACTACATAAGAAGTTCAAGGTTAGTTCCTAACCCTTTTTCCTGTGATTGGAATCTTCCAGTAGCTAACTACTTTTTTAAAAAAGAAAGTTTGGTCTTATGGGTTGCTGGCTTCTTCCTATTTTTTTCTAATTAAACAAGTTACATGAAGTCTCTATAAGCAAAAAGCAAAGAAGTGACTACTTTATGATGTTCATATATTCCCCAAATGCATTTTAAATTACTCATATTGTAAAACCTCAGTGCTTCAAAAACCACTCATCAAGCATGCACTAAGTACACATCACCATACAAGACACAATGAAGGATGTCTCAAAGAGAACTAGAATCACAAAATTTGGTAAGATACAAACAGATAACCTCAAGATAGTTTGTCTTCCGGAATATAAGTTCTTCATGGGCGGGGACTTTAGTCATATTACAGTGTTATATAAATGTCTGAACAATTAAAAAAAAAAAAAAAAACTCTAAGAAGTAAGAGGGTAGGATGCCATTCCAGCTGAGGTTGTGCACTGCAGTGAATTATATAAAATGGCCATTTTAGCCATGGTCTTTGTGACTCCCACCAGATGACTGAGTGTGATTATACAAATGTGAGGCACTTGCAGCCCGCCAAGGGGATCAGACAGCTTGTTAATCTAAATAAGGTACATGGCATGCTTGTAGGGGTGGGACCATGAAATAATGTGAATAGAAGCCTAACATGGGGATTGGTCAGTTTTGCCATCCACTAGGCTTAAAATGTACCATCCCAAAGGCAGAAAGAAGGATCTCACTACATCAAGAAAGAAGAGCAAAGAGCAGAACACGTCCTTTGAATCCAAGATCACTGTACTGAATCTCCTTAACCCAGGAGACAGAGAGTTGTAACACTTTTTTCAGATGGCAAAATGGTGAAAAGTAGTGGCAGAGAAACCACAACAGCAAACCCCAGTAGCAGACAAAGGTACAAGACAAAGCAGTGGGCTGCTCAGCCCACAGAGTGAGAAAGATGAATATGTTTAGGCAGCAGGTTGCTGGCAGCATGAGGTACCTATCGCAAAGCTAAAAGAGCTTTGTTACACTTGCCCAAGCAGGGCAGAGGTCAAAGGGGCACAAGGTTGAAAGGCCAGGGCCAGAGATAAGTATGCCTATGGCATGGCTGAAAAGAGACTATCCTGATCAAAGAATTTTATCTTGATTCATTTCTGACCTGTTAGTTCCCTAATAAACCCTGTATTTGTGAATATAGTCTCTGAGTTCTGTGTGGCCATTGCAATGTATCACTGAACCCAGCAGAGAAATAAAGAGAGCTGTGGGATGGATGAGTGGTGTTAGAATTGGCAAGAAGGTTGGAGGCTGGCATCATGTCTGACCTACACTTCATAGGAATCAGCCTTGGGCTGTTGACCTTGATCCTTCTTCCCCTTTGTGAACTTAAAGGAGGTCAGATGCCACCCTCACGGTCTTTTTGTAGGTAGGGAGAGAAATTCTATAGAGAGTAGTATTTTAGCCTCAAACGGTGGCTAAAATATAAATCAGGGATGGAGTAGAAGAAACAGATATGACAGATTAAAATTAAACAGGGTATATCCTGGAAGTACCAACCTAACTCCAATTACATAAGAAAAGGGTTGAAAGGGGGAGCTGTGGGACACATTATGAAAGATCTTAACTCAAGGGCTGTAAAAAGCTACAAGTTATTTAAAAAAGACAAGTGTTTCCCATGCTAAAAGTAGTTCATTAGGAAAATATTTTAGAAGGGTAGAAAGATCCTAGGGCCAGCAAGATTAATTTAAAAAATTGTTTAATAGTTCAGAGAAGAAATAATAAGAGTCTAACCTATAGTACCAAAAGTAGGGCCCATCTGAGACGTTATAAGGCAGGAGGCTCTGCAAGTAACTGATTGATACCAAGGTAAGTGGGAGGAAAGGCCATGAAGGATTCAATGAGTTAGGAAGGGGAGATTTCAAGAAGGGATGAGAATTAATAACATGAGAACAACAACTGATGCACAATAAAAATAAATAAATAAATAAGAGGACACAAGAGAGATACGAAAATCACTAAGCTACTGAGACCCTGGTTCACATTCAGCATGCACAGAGAGGGCTTGGTCAGCAGCATTCTGAGAGTTTCCCATGAATCCCTGAATTATAGATGAAGCACCCAGAAAACAGGCAAGGGCAACCATCAGCTGCTGAAGAGCAGGCATCTCACGGGTTAAGGTGGTAATAGGCTATAGGGCAGCTGTGGAAGAAGCATTACCATAGACAGAAAATAAGAAATGTCTTCATTGAAAATCACAGGAAAAAACACCCATCTGGAATAATAAAGAGTAACTGATATTTACCTTTAGGGCAAAGTTATAAAATATTTTGGCCACTTTGGCATAATCCGAGGTTCTTAGGTTAACACTTCCTCCAGGGAAAAGGATCCTGAAACAACATCAAATAGGATGTTTTTCACCACAGAAAATAATTAATCTTAAAACAACTTTGTTCTTATTATACAAGCAGTAAGATCATTAAAGAAAATAAAGAGGAGTAAAGCAAAATAGAAAATAAAAAATATTTGCAATGCTACCCACTCCGAAAGTACCCTAGTTAACAACACTTTATTACATATTCTTCCAAAACTTCTTCAATAAACAAGTTTATTTAATGAAATAAACTTGTGTAGAAATTGAATGTAAATAAATGGGTGGTGTGGGGGTGTACATGGGGCATATACAGAGTTCTACATAAAATAGAGACAGAATTCCAGGTATAACTAGGTTTACATTAAGGTAACCAATGATGCCTAAAAATCAATGCAGGTCCATAATCACCAGCATATTTCAGTTCACAAAAAAATACTTTTAAAAAACTATAAAAGAATAATTTGGCAATAAAAACATATGTAGGCTAGAATTAAATGTTGTTAGGTGCCATGAAGTCAATTTTGACTCGGTGACTACATGTACAATAGAATGAAACACTGCCCGGTCCTGCACCACTCACAATCGAGTGCTATGCTTGAGTCCGTTGCTGCAGCCACTGTGTCAATTAAATATCTATGAGAATTTAATTCTACATTACTATCTTGAGATCTCTTCAGAAATAAGCATAATATTAGAAATATCTGACAAGAACATGATTGTAATTCTAGAAAAGGTCTAGGGGGAAAAAGGGTGGAGTCACAAATGTTTGATTTTATTTACACATAAATATGAGACACAGAAAAATATTTACTGTATTTTCATCCCAACATTTTCAATTAATTTTTAATTTAAAAGTATGTAACAGTTCATGAAGTAATAAAAGATATACTAAAGAGAAGACAGAAGTTGGATTAAACCAATTCACTGCCATCAAGTCAATTCCAATTCATAGCAACCGTATTAAGACAGAGTAGGACCGCCCCATAAGGTTTTCTAAGGCTGTAACCTTTACAGAAGTGGACTGCCAAATCTTTCTCCTATGGAGCTACTGGTGGGTTTGAACCACAGACTTTTCAGCTGGTAACTGAATGCTTAATCACTGTACCACCAGGGCTTCTTATGGGATTACAATTAGAAAATATTTATATATTAATTTGAGGTATGTAAAATACCACTTTTGGGATAGTTTTTCATTCAACAAAAATATTTTGTGTCTTCCACGAGCCAGTCTCAGTACATACTAGTCTAGAGAAACAAAGATGAGTAATCTTTGCTGTTAGTAAAATCACAGTCTCATAGAAAACACGGATATATAAACTTTGAAGTAGAACACCTGCTCCAAAACTATATAGAAAACTCTACAATTAAAAGTTGCTGAAATCTTAAAACAACTTTGAGCATGAGCATTCTCCCTTTTCACTGACTCAGTATTAAAGAGCTGCCTCTGGCCAAATTTTGTATGTTTAACTCCAAAGCCCCTTCAAAAAGGAAAATTTGATTGCCCTTTCCAGTTGGCAAAATCCTTTAAAGTAAGGTTTTGCCCTTTCACCTCTGTATTCTCCACAAATTAGTATGGGGTTACTGAATGAGAAGGGCTCAATAAGGATGTTTTTGAAGGTGTACTGGAACTTTCTGCTGACGCTCAGTCTGTATGTACCCCAATTTTTTTCACTTTGGGAACTGCCTTCACTGCTTCAGCTAAGGAAGAAGGGGTGGGAAGGGAGGGAGAAAGGTGGCACTTCAGGAAACAGGTTGAGGAGATACAAACTGGACTCCCTTGTCAATTTAAGAACCATGCTGGTTGCCAAGAAGGCATACTGAGAAGCTGGATAAACTGGCTACCAGAAATATTTGTTCTTGTCTATACTAACCATTACTGCAGACTCCTGTATAAATAGGAACACAGATGGAGAGAGAAGGGAAGAGATGAAGTGATTCAAAAAATACACTTTTAAGGCTCTACCATTTATTTTGCTCTGGCCTTGTTGTTGTTGTTGTTAGGTGACGTTGAGTCATCTCTGACTCATAGCAACCATATGCACAGCAGAATGAAACACCACCAGGTCCCGCGCCAGCTCTGCAATCCATGCTATACTTGAGGCCACCACCACAGCCACTGTGTCACTCCATCTCGTTGAGGGTCTTTCCCTCTTTCGTTGACCCTACACCTTACCAAACATGACATCCTTCTCCAGGCAATGGTCCCTTCTGACAATATGAACAAAGTAGGTGAGATGAAATATGGCCACCCTCACTTCAAAGGAGCATTCCGGCTGCACTTCCTCCAGGACAGATCTGTTAGTTCTTTTAGCAGTCCATGATGTATATTCAGCATTCTTGGCCAGCACCACATCTCAAAAGCATCAATTCTTCTCCAGTCTTTGTTATTGTCCAGCTCTGACATGCATATGAGGCAACTGAAATATCATGGCTTGTGTCAGGTGCACCTTAGTCCTCAAGGAGACATCTTTGCTCCTTAGCACTTGAAAGAGGTCCTTTGCAGTCGACTTGCCTAGTGCCATACGTCTGATGTCCTGACTGCTGCTTCCATTGGTGTCGACTGTTGTTGTTGTCGTTTTGTGCCATCAAGTCGAACCCAACTCATAACAACCCGTCCTTGGGTTTCCGAAGCGATATCACTACAGAAGTAGATTGCCCAACCTTCCTTCCAAGGAGTAGCTTGTGGGTTTGAACCACCAGCCTTCTGGTTACTAGTCAAGTGCCTTAGGCACTACGCTACCAGAGCTCCTGGCGTCGATTGTAGAACCAAGCAATGTGAAGTCTTTGACAACTTCAATCTTTTCTCCCTTTATTGTGATGCTGCTTATTGGTCCAGTTGTGAGGATTTTTGTTTTCTTTATATTGAGATGTAATCTATACTGCAGACTGTATTCTTCAATCTTCATCAGTAAGTGCTTCAAGTCATCCTCACTTTCAGCAAGCAAAGTTGTGTTGTCAGTATTTTGCAGGTTGTTAATGATTCTTCCTCCAATCTTGATGCTATGTTCTTCTTCATATAGTCCAGCTTCTTGGATTATTTGTTCAGCATATAGATTGAACAAGTATGGTGAAAGAATACAACTCTGACACATTCCCTTCTTGATTTTAAACCATGCAGTGTCCCCTTGTTCTTTAGAATGACAGCCTCCTGGTCTATGTACAGGTTCCTCATGAGTACAATTAAGTGTTCCAGAATTCTCATTCTTCTCAGTGTTATCCACAATTTGTTATGATCCACACAATCAAATGCTTTTGCATAATCAATAAAACACAAGTAAACATCTTCCTGGTATTCTTTGCTTTGACCCAAAATCCATCTGGCATCAGCAATGATATCCCTCATTCCACATCCTCTTCTGAATCCAGCCTGCACCTCTGGAAGTTCTCTGTCAATATACTGCTGCAACCATTTTTGAATTATCTTCAGTAAGATTTTACCTGCATGCAATATTAATGAAATTGCTCGATAATTTCCACATTCTGTAGGATCACCCTTCTTTGGAATGGGTACAAATACGGATCTCTTCCAGTCAGTTGGCCAGGTAGCTGTCTTCCAAATCTCATGGCATAGCTGAGTGAGTGCCTCCAGTGTGTCATCCATTTGTTGAAACATCTCAACAGGTATTCCATCAATTCCTGGAGACTTATTCTTTGGCAATGCCTTCATTGCAGCTTTGACTTCTTCCTTCAATACCACTGCTTCTTGATCATATATATGCCACCTCCTGAAATGGAAGTATATCAACCAGGTCTTTCTGGTACAGTGACTCTGTGTATTCCTTCCATCTTCTTTTGATGCTTCCTGCATCATTCAACATTTTGCCCTTAGAATCTTTCAATATTGCAACTCGAAGCTCACATTTTTTCCTCAGTTCTTTCAGCTTGAGAAATGTCAAGCGTGTTCTTCTGTTTTGGTTTTCTAACTCCAGGTCTTTGCACATTTCATTATAGTAATTGGCTTTGTCTGCTCGAGCTGCTCTTTGAAACTTTCTATTCAGCTCTTTTATCTTGCCATTTCTTCCATTTGCTTTAGCTCTCTGCTCAAGGGCAAGTTTCAGAGTCTCTTCCAACATCCATTTTGTTCTTTTCTTCTTTTCTTGTCTTTTTAATGACCACTTGCTTTCTTGGATGATTTTTTTGATGTCATCCCACAATTCTCCTGGTTTTCGGTTATTGGTGTTCAATGCACCAAATCTATTCTTTAGATGGTCTCTAAATTCAGGAGGGATATATTCAAGATCATATTTTGGCTCTCATGGACTTGTTTTAATTGTATTCCACTTCCAGTTTAACTTGCATATGAGCAGTCTGTTCCAAGATCAGCTCCTGGCCTTGTTTTGGCTACAGATATTTTTTCCATTGCCTCATGCCACAGATGTAGTCAATCTGATTCCTGTGTATTCTGTCTGGTGAAGTTCATGTGTATAGTTGCTGTTTGTGTTGTTGAAAAAATGTATTTGTAATGAGTAAGTCATTGGTCTTGCAAAATTCTATCATGTGATCCCCAGAGTTATTTCTGTCACTAAGGCCAAATTTTCCAACTACTGGTGATTCTTCTTTGTTTACAATTTTCACATTCCAGTCACCAGTGATAACACATGCTGATTGCACATTTGGTCAATTTCAGACTGCAAAAGCTGATAAAATTCTTCAATACTCTCATCTTTGGCTTTTGTGGCTGGTGCATGAATTTGAATAACAGTTGTATTAACTGGTCTTCCTTATATAGGTGTATGGATATTATCCTATCACTGACAGCATTGTATTTCAGGACAGATCTTGAAACATCCTTTGTGATGATGAATGCCACGCCATTCCTCTTCAAATTGTCATTCCTGGCACAGTAGATCATATGGTTGTTGTTGCTGTTAGGTGCTGTCGAGTCACACCCAACTCATAGCAACCCCTCCTTGGGTTGCCGAGGCAGTATCACTATGGCAGTAGATTGCCCAACCTTTCTTCTGAGGAGTGGTTGGTGGGTTTGAACCACCAGCCTTCTGGTTAGCATCAAGTGCCTTTGGCACTATGCTACCAGAGCTCCTAGATCATATGATTATCTGATTCAAAATGGCCAAAACCAGTCAATTTTGGCTCACTAATGCCTAGGATATCAATCTTTATGCATTCCATTTCATTTTTGACAACTTCCAATTTTCCTAGATTCATACTTTGTATATTCCATGTTCCAGTTATTAATGGAAGTTTCCAGCTGTTTCTCAATTTGAGTTGGGCCATGTCAGCAAACAGAGGTCTTGAAAGCTTTACTTTATCCATATCCATAAGTTTGGTGCTACTGATGATGCAGCTTTTTCCTACTTGTATTTTGAAAGTCTTCTGACCTAAGGACTTGTACTGCTACACTGTATCAGATCATGTTTCTGGGCTATTCATAAAGTTGCACAGTAATGTATCAGACAGTGCTTCTTTGCTATTCATAAGGTTTTCCCTGGCCAATTCTTTGAGAAGTGGATGGCCTCTTCCTTCTTCCTAGTCTGTCTCACTCTGTAAGCTGCATTGAAACCTGTGCACCATGTGCAACCCTAATAGCACTTGAAACACCAGTGGCACAGCCTCAAAGCCTCACAGCAACATGCAAGCCACAACAGTATGACAAACTGACAGACAAGTTTATCACCCTTAGCTGTTTGAAACTTCTCTACCCTCCCTTCATCTGGATCCCTGGCTGCTATTCTGCTCTGTCATTCCCTCTGGCTTCGCTTTCCCCTGCTTTCCTGCCTGCTGGATTGGGGCTTGGGTCCCTCCCCTTACCTAGATCCCTGGTTACTGTTATTGTTCTGGCCTGGACTTACTTATCTTTGTATGTGCCAAAGTATCTGCACATAATAGGTACTGTTAATGTTTTACTAAACTGAAATGATTTTATAGTAAATATTTACAGAATTGAAGGTAAATAATTTTTTTAAAATAGAGCCTTATTAAATAAATAAACACAACTTTAAAAAACAGGATTAAAAAGGTTTATAGTGAAAAAGGCTCCTTGCCACCCCACTCCCAATCAGACGCAAGCACTGTTAATATTTTTATGCTGACCAGACAAAAATAGGCTATGTATATCTCCTCACTCCAACTTTAAAAACAAAAGCAAACAGGGTTTACTATACACACTATTCTCTATCTTTTTTTTTTAAATGAGAATATCACACTGTTCAGATGAAAACAGTGATCCAGAGTAGCACCTAGACATCCTCATACAGTCTATTTTATTTAAACAATTCCCAACTGATGGACTATTAGGTGGTTTCTAAATTTTAGATACTGCAAACAATACTGCAATGCATATACTTAGGTCTAAATCTTCACACAAGGGGAGAATTATATTTGTATACAAATGTATGTAATATAATTCTTTCTAAAGGGATTTCCTGGATCAAAAGGTATTATACATTTTAAATTTCAATAAGTATTAAAAATTGACCCCAAAAAAGGCTACATAATTTTCATTCCTATTAATAAAGTATTAGAATACTTGTTTCCTCTGGTAGCATAGTGCCAAGGCACTTGACTGCTAACCAGGAGGCTGGCGGTTCAAACCCACCAGCCACTCCTCGGAAGGAAGGTTGGGCAATCCTACTTCCGTAGTGATAACTGCCTCAGAAACCCAAGGAGGGGTCGCTAGGAGTCGGGGCCGACTCGATGGCAAATAACAACAACAACATATCATGGTGTATTAGCAAATTTTCTCATCTTTACCAACTTGATAGTTGAAAAATGGTTTTTAATGGCTGTAATTATCTTGCCTTTAATTATGAGTAACATTGGACATTTTTTCATATGTTTAAGTCTTTCTGTAAGTTCTGTGGTCAATCCAGAGAACAGAAAAGTTTTTTCTGGTAGCGTAATGCCTAAGGCACTTGACTGCTAACCAGAAGGCTGTTGGTTCAAACCCACCTCCACTCCTCAGAAGGAAGGTTGGTCAATCTACTTCCATAGTGATACCACCTCAGAAACCCAACAAGGGGTCGCTATGAGTCGGGGCCAACTCCACGGCATATAACAACAACACAACATTCAAGTTACCATCTGAAAGACAATCAGTATCTTCAAAGCTAGTACTTATAAATTGTCTAAGCAAGCAATATGCTATGATATTCAAAATGACATCAAAATATTTTAAAGCTAAGCATTAAAAAACACAGATTGTGTCATACATCTAAATATTTACACACATACACACACACATTCACTATGCAGAAAGAAGACTGGGCAATTATGCACGTCTATAGTGCATGCATCTATTTCCTAACCTGCCTTCTCCTCTTTGCAGAACTTTTACACTTCTCAACAAAATAATTCCTATAAAAGAACTCATAATGAATGTTATACCACTCAAAGACAGTTACAGAAACATGTATAACAAAGTGGTAACTGTGAGAGCTGCAACTCAATGGACTGCCTTGTTATTCCAGGTCTCATAAGTTTCCTACCTTTGACAGAGTATACCGTACCACTTTTCTATCGCTCTCTATTAGTGGAAAATATTCTGAGTTTTCCTTCTCTGACAGGTTTCCACCTGACACTGGGCCTAACTTTTTCAAGTTTATAATATTTATATGTAGTATTTTTTACAAAAGCACAAACATAGGTATATACTGTTATCAAACCAATGCTCCCAACTTACCCATTGATAGATTTGAAAAGCTTTTCATATTCTTCACCTGTAAGATTAAGCCTGAAAACAATAAAAAAAAATATTACAAAATAGCCATTTCCAAAACTTAACAAAAATGTAAGGGTCTAAATGAAGTCACCCTATGTATTTTCAAATGGAGATAAAAATAATTCTTAAATTTCAGGTAACATTACTTCTCCACCCTCTTAGATTCATTTTTTTCAAACTACATAAAAGCTACATAATTATATCTTTCTTTTGCTAATCAGACAAATAGATATCTCTTTCTGTGGTCTAATGTCAATACTATGTAGTATTTTATATAAATAAAAATTTCATATTTAATATTAATGTGCAAAACATTAGAAATCACAAAATTTGAGCACCAGTAATATTTCCACAGGAGAAAGATGTGGCAGTCTGCTTCCCTAAAGATTTACAGCCTTGGAAACTTTATGGGACAGCTCCACTCTGTCCTACAGGGTCCCTATGAGTTGGGTTGGTTTGCTTTGTTTTTTCTCTAGTATGTAAGAACTATTAAAAAGATAAGGACATTCAACAGTTTTATGTAAACATTAAACAAAGAGCTTTATTATCATGTCAGGTTCAGACAAGGAGCTCTGGTGGTGTAGTGCCTAAGGCATTTGACTGCTAACCAGGAGGCTGGAGGTTCAAACCTATCAGGCACTCCCTGGAAGGAAGGTTGGGCAATCTACTTCCTTAGTGATACCACCTCGGAAACCCAAGGAGGTTCGCTATGAGTTGAATCCAGCATTGCGTTTGGTTTGGTTTGGTAGGTTCAGGCAAGGAGCTCTGGTGGTGTACTGCCTAAAGGCCTTGGACTGCTAACCAGAAGATTGGTGGTTCAAACTCACCAGCAACTCTGTGGAAGGAAGACTGGCCAACCTAATTCAGTAAAGATTTATTGCCTCGGAAACCCAAAGTGGGTCACTATGAATCAGAATCGACTCGATGGCAGTGAGTTTGTTTTGTTTTTTTTAGGCTCAGGCAGCTGTGGCTGATAAAAACAACCAATCCTATAAATTCCAAGTCACTGCTTCACTCTACCCTCACCAACAGCTGCAAGTCTTTAGAAACTACAGTGATTCACAATCAGATTTAGAGACAGATTTTGAGGTAAAGAATTTAACTTTACCCAAAGAAATTTGGTCTTTTTCTAGGTTCCTGAGAGACAACACTAATCCCTTGGAATTTCCCAAGCAACTGTGGTGTCTTTGTTATCTAAGAGGCTTCCAAAACCATACATAAAAGTGTGTGGTAATATGGTGAGGGATGACCAGGGCAAAAAGACCTCCTTGTGAAATGGTCCAACCTAAGAGGTAGGAGGGGCATGATTTAATCAATCAAGTCTACAAAATTAGGCTCCTAATAAAAACTTTGTACTTAGAAGATCCAAGCTTCCTAGCTAAAAAACATTCATGCACATGGGAGGGTAGCAAGCACTTTTGGGACATGAAAGTTCTATGCTGGAAACCCTCCAGGCCTTACTCTATGCATCTCTTCATTTGTATCCTGTTGTACTATAATAAAGTTGTATAAATACAGTGATTTTCCATGAACCCTGTGAGTCATTCTAGCAAATAATCAAACCCGAGGGAGAAGTGGGAACCAGCAGGTCAGAAGTAAGAAGAGGGGAACCCCTGAGTTCTCAGTTGGTATCCTGAGGTGTAGAAGGAAACAATGGGACAGTCCAATAGGTGCAGTGCCTCCCCTCTTCCTGTTCCTGTTTGAGTGAGTCCCTAGGCTACAGAAACAAACCATAGCTCAGTCCAGGGCCTGATGTTCTCACCAAACAGGCAACGGGGCTGGGGTAATAAAAACTCAATGCAGGACAAGAAAAAAATCTGGTTAACACCTATCAGGGAGCTCTGGTAGCGTACTGCCTAAGGCACATGACTGCTAACCAGAAGGCTGACAGTTCAAACCCACCAGCCACTCCTCAGAAGAAAGACTGGGCAATCTACTTCCATAGTGATACTGCCTTGGAAACTCAAGGAGGGGTTGCTATGAGTCAGGTCTGACTCAATGGCACATAACAACAACAATAACACCTATCCAGGACTACAAATCTCCTTGGGTGGTTATGCTGGATGGTCTGCATCTGTGCTTAACTCAAGTGCTCCAGAGTATAGCATCTTTAGAATATAAAACTGTGGTGTAGTAAATTACTTAGTGTGGCTTTTCTACCCATAAGTCTTTATAAACTCCAAGGTGGGATTTTCTATGAACAACTGAGGAGCTCCTGATTGCTGAAGTTGTCCACCTGGAGAATTTCTGTTGGGAGTGGCACAAAACAATGTTCTGGGAGGTGCCCACTCTCTCAAGTGCTTAGAGTTCTGATGCTATGATTGGCTAGTTTGACCACACTGCCGGGCTCAAAAGGAGGCCTCCTAGAGGCAGAACTCTCTCTGACTGCTGGATGAGGAAGACATGCTGCTGAAAGAGACACGGGCTCTTGAGACATGCATTGCTGGGAAAGAGACACAAGAGACACACATTGCTGAGTGAGACACCAAGGGACATGCACTGCTGGGAGAGAGAGTGAGAGACTGTTGGCTGAGGGACGGTGGGCTGGGAGAGAGACTGAGCATTTTCCGTGAACTTGAATTGTAGCCTGTGGTGCTTCCCTAATAAACCCCATAATCTGTGAGCTCTGTGTGGCCACTGCAGCAAATTATCGAACCCAGGAGAGAGGTGGTGGGTGTTTTGCAAGAAACGGTTGGTGAAACGGCTGGAGGGAGGCAGTATGTCTGGCCTTGCAGTGATAGGCCTTGGGTTACTGCTGGTAATCCTGTCTTTCTCTTGTGGGATTACAGAAGGTCAGAACATGTGGCCTCCTTGCCGTTTTTGCAAAAACCAAAAAAAAAAAAAAAAAAAAGCCAACTGTCATTGAATCTACCAACTCATAGTAACCCCCATAGGGTTTCCAAGACTGTAAATTTTTACAGAAGTAAATTGCATCATCTTTCTCCCATGGGTAGTTGGTTTGAACCACCAATTTTCTGGTTAATAGCCAAAAGCCTTCCCCACTACACTACCAGAGCTCCAGAAAATCTACAAATGTGCTTCACATAAGTCAGTCATGCAATTCCTACAGTGTAAACCAAACCAAACTCACTACTATTGAGTCGGATCCAACTCATGGCAACCCCTCCTTGGGTTTCTGAGGTGGTATCACTACGGTAGTAGATTGCCCAACCTTCCTTCCAAGGAGCAGCTAGTGGGTTTGAACCACCAGCATTCTGGTTTGCAGTCAAATGCCTTAGGCACTATGCCACCAGAGCTCCCTAGAGTGGAAAGCTGGATGTATTATGAGACTTTGTAATCCTTCTCCAACAGGGCAAAGTAGGGCACTGGTAGTCTCCATTCTGCCTGGATAATTGTGATAATTGGAGCTATATGTCAACTTGGATGGACCACCATTCTGTGCTGTTTAAGCAATTGTGATGTGGGTTGTTCCCATGATGAGATCAGATGTATATGTTTTGAGCAACCAATCCATTGAGAGGGAGTTTCCCTAGGGGTGTGGCCTGTTTCCAGTATATTTACAGACATCCTCAAAAAAGAGACACTCTTCTGTGGATCAGGATTCTGTTAAGCTGCCTACAACAGTCTGTGAGCGAATAATCCACCACTGGGCCTGGAGGTCTTGAATTTATCATTCACTGGAGTCAACAGCCAGTATACTGCCTGCCTATTTTGATCTCATCAGCCCCTGCAGCTGTGTGAGTTGGGAAAAGCCTCCAGATTGACGTTTGATCCAAGACTTGTCAACTTCTATGTGTGTGAGCCATTTTCCAAAAATAAATTTCTTTCTCTCTCTCTCTTTCTATATATATATATAAGCTTACTGATTTTGCATCTCTAGAGAACCCAGTCTAACACATTTGGTACTGAGAGTGGGGTGGTTCTAGAGAGACAAAATCATAAGGATGGGCTTCCTAAATTGGTTCTCCAATTTGATTAATTGTAAAGGCACTGATGACCCTGCCTCTGTTGGTAAAGAGGGCCCTGCTAATTCGTGGCATGAGGTGGCAACATTAATATGCAAATTAGCACCACCAATAGATCAAGTATTTTTGAGAAATGAGGCTTTGGTGATCGCATATTTGATGGTTTTCTGCAATTTTGTCAGCATGAGGAGTATAAGAAAGCTGGTGGATTGGTCCTACTTAGCCAAAATGGTGAAAGAGCAAGATGAGTTCAGGGCTGCTAAGTCACAGCTTAAGGGCTGCGTAAAAGACCTTAATGTTTCCAGCTCTGCTCTGAAAAAAAGCCTTATTTCTTCTAGTAACAGAGCTGATATTGCCAAAAACCAAACCCAGAGTCTTATTGTAAGTGTGGCTGAATTACAACGCCAATTAAATTGCCAACCAAGAATGATGCCTAAGTTAAAGTGAGGGCATTAATTGGGAAAAAATGGGATCGTGAGACCTGGAATGGGGACATATGGGCAGATAGTCAGGAAGATCAGGATATGGAGCCTCTAAATTCTGTTGAATTCCTCCCATCTGAAGGGATTACTGTAAAACCATTATCCCCTCCACCTCAGTTTGATGGGATTAGCTAAACTGGTCCTGCTGGGTCACTGCCTGAGGCAGAGGCCATGGAAGACATTGCTGAATGTTCTCAGGAACTGCCCCAATCACCCTTTGTTGCTGCTAATCCTATAACTAAAGTTAAGTCCAAGCGAGCCCCAAAAGGTGAAATACAAAGCGTGACTGAGGAGGTGGTACACTACACCCGAAAAGACCTACTTGATTTTGCTAATATGTACAGACAAAAACCTGGAGAATATGTATGGGAATGGCTACTGAGGGTGTGGGATAATGGTGCAAGGAATGTAACGTTGGATCAGTCTGTTTTATTGATTTAGGCCCACGAAGTACGGATTCTTCATTCAATGTTTCAGCTCGAGAGGTTAGGAAAGGATCTAATAGTTTATTTGGTTGGCTTACTGAAGCATGGATTATGCAGTGGCCTACCTTAAGTCAAGTTGAAGTACCAGACCTGCCTTGGTATAATGCAGAAGAAGGCAT